CTGCAATATCCAACAGTCCCCAGAAACTCTCTCACCTGGCGGGGGGTCTTGGGCTCTGGTATCTGCAATATTGTTTCCTTCATGGCCTGGGTTAACCACCTTTGCCCCTGCCTGATCTTATACCCCAAAGAGATGACCTCTTGCTGGGCTATTTGCGCCTTCTTTGCGCTAGCGCGATACCCCAAGGTGCCTAGGGTCTGTAAGAGGTCCCCGGTGGCACGGCTGCATGCCTCCTCCGTGGTTCCAGCCAACAGAAGGTCATCTACATATTGTAGCAGAATGACCTCTGGGTGGCAAGCCCCATATTTGTAGAGGTCCTCACTCAGAGCCTCATTAAACAAGGTAGGGGAGTTCTTAAACCCCTGTGGGAGGCGGGTCCAAGTTAATTGTACCGGTTGGCCCTCCCCCTTGGTCTACTCAAAGGCAAATATCTCCTGGCTCTGGGCCGCCAGGGGTAGGCTGAAAAAGGCATCCTTCAAGTCTGACACAGTGTACCAAGTGTATTCAGGCAGCATACTGCTCAGGAGGGTATATGGGTTAGGGACAGTGGGGTGTATGTCACTCACCCGCTTGTTGACTTCTCGCAGGTCCTGGACAGGTCTGTAATCTGTCCCCCCTGGCTTCCTCACTGGCAGTAAGGGGGTGTTCCAAGGGGATTGGCACCGCTTGAGAATTCCGGCATCCATGAGCCGTCGAGTGTGGGGAGTGATCCCCCGCCGAGCTTCCTGGCTCATGGGGTACTGTCTCACCCTCACAGGAATTGCCTCGGCCTTTAGCTCTATGACGGCCGGATGTCTCTGTTTGGCCAGTCCCATTCCTGCTGTTTCTGCCCAGGCCAATGGGTATTTGTGACCCACGATTGTACATCTGGTGCTATGGTCTCTGAGGGCTTAGCCTCTCTTAAGGCTAGAGATAAGACATGTATCGGCTGTCCAAGTCCATCCGTGACTGACATTCCCCAGGGTCAGAATGGATCTGAGCGTTAACTTTAGTCAACAAGTCTCTTCCACGTAGAGGGGCTGGGCGTTCTGGTTTCACCAAAAACGAATGGGACACCTGGTGGGTCCCCAGATTTACTTTCCGTTCTGTGGCCCAACAATATCTTTTTGTCCCCATGGCTCCTTGCACTATGCTGGTTTTCTTAGACATTGGTCCCAGTTTTTTATTTAAAACAGAGTGTTGGGCGCCAGTATCTACCATGAAGCCAGCGGGTTTCCCCTCCACATGTATGGTTACCCAGGACTCGGGGAGGGGTGCCGAGTCTTGACTCCCCTAGTCACTGTCTTCCCCCTCATATAGGACTCGAGTTCCAGGGGAGATTCCCTCTCTCTGGGTCATTCCTCTCCTCGAGTCCCTCTTAGGGCACTCGTTTTTCCAGTGCCACTGTTCTTTGCAGTAAGCGCACTGATCCTTCTTTAGGGCCTGGCTTTTTGATTTCTCTTTTTCTCCCGTCCGGGGGTCTCGAGGCTCCCTCAATTCTGTTCCGGCCTTCAACCCCGCAAAAAGAATCTGGGCTAGCTCCCTCTGGTTCTTCCGGTTTTCCCTCGCTCTATATTCTCTATCTTCCTTCCTGATCTTCTCAGCTAATTCCCTTTCCTCCTGTCGAATTCGCTCTTCCCTTTCTTCTGGGGTCTCTCTATTATTAAATACCTTTTCAGCTGCTTTCAGTAAATCTTGTACTGTCTGTTCTCCCAATCCCTCTATCTTTTGTAATTTCCTCCTAATATCTGGGGCTGCCTGATTCACAAACGCTAACAGAACTGCAGCGCGTGACTCCTCAGCCTGGGGGTCCATAGGTGTATATTGCCTAAAGGCTTTCCATCAGCCTCTCTAGGAAGGCTGCCGGGCTCTCAGCGGGCTCCTGCCTTACTACATTTACCTTCGCCAAATTTGTCAGCTTTCTTGCTGTGGCCCGCAGTCCTGCCATCAGAGTCTGACGGTACACTCGAAGATGCTCCCTACCTTCCGCTCGCTCAAAATCCCAGTTAGGCCGCAACAGAGGAAACCCCCGGTCCACGAGATGAGGCTGGGCGGTTGGCCTCCCGTCGACCCCCGGGACCCGTTTCTGCGCCTCTGCCAGGATTCGCTCCCGTTCTTCTGTGGTGAAAATCACCTGCAACAGCTGCTGACAATCATCCCAGGTGGGGTTGTGAGTGAATAAAATGGAATCTAAGAGGTCAGTGAGGCCTTGGGGTTTCTCTGAGAAAGGAGGGTTCTGGGTTTTCCAATTATACAGGTCACTCGTGGAAAAGGGCCAGGACTGATAGTTTCGCTCTCCGTCCGGGTTAGCTGGTCCCACTCGGACGGGGAGCGCCTGAACAGTGGATGAAGGTAACTCTGGGTCCCCAGAGTCTTGTCCACCCCTATCTCCCCTAGTTCTCCCCCGGGTCCCCAACGCCGGTCCCCCCTCATGGTCGGTTTCCATTGGTCCTCTTAATCCTCTCAGTTCACCCGTGGGAGCTTCTCTCCTCGGAGGGGATTGCAAGGAGGGCACATATGGCGGAGGCCTCATCTCCGTTTCTAGGTCTATCAGGTTTGGACAAGATGATTCCTGAAAGACTAGTTTTGGGTCCTCTTTCTTTTTGGTTTCCTCCGGGGGGGTTTCCATCACCAGGACCTGTGAATTAGAAGAACTAGGAGGTTTGTGAACGAAAGGTTTTAACCACTTAGGCGGGTTTTCCACTAGATCCTGCCAGACCATGACATAGGGGACCTGATCCGGATGGCCCCATGGATCACGAGCCATAATCTTCTCTTTCACAGCCTGTATTATGGATGGTTGAAAGGTGCCTTCCGGAGGCCATCCAACCTGGAAGGCGGGCCACTCTGCAGAACAAAAAGTTATTAATTTACTTTTCTTGACTAACAAAGACAAGTTATGGGCCCTGGCCGTGACATCTGAAATATGGTCAGTCACGAGAGAAAGTGGGGTAGATTCTCCCTGACCCATGGTCAAGGAATAAATGGTAGGGAAGAGAGAGAGAGAAGAAGTCACTGAGAACGACCACCAAAAATCCTATCGGGAGTGGTGGCGGCCAAGAGGTTGGGCTTATGGTTTGCTTTTGGAACTGTTTATGTGCCTGCGTCGTTGCACGGAAGTTTTTTTGCTGGGGGCGTGCACCCTAGTGGTTTCTAGCCCATTCCGTGACCCCCTTATCCTCTCACGGGAGTCTTCAAGTGGCAGGCGCCCTAATGGCCTTTAAGTGCCTGACCCGTGCCCACACGAAGAATTTTAGGCCACGTCCTCAGTTAGGGATGTTGAAGGAGAGTTTCACTCGATCGGGCTCCCGTTACTGAGGCTCACTTATTGTAGGGCCTTCAGAGTCCGCCAGAGTGTAGCCCTGGCCGGGACTCATCAATTGCCCCCACAACCGTTCGCCTTTTCACTGAAACTCCCGAAAATAAAAGGAGTTGAGGGCAGATCAGAGAAGAAGAGGAAAGGAGAGTAAGTCAGAAGAGAGAGAAGAGAACGAGACCAGAGACAATGCCGGCACACACACAAACACGGAGAGTCGTAGACAAACACACAGATAGACAAACGTCGGCCGACAACACAGCGCTGGGTTTTTGGGCCCCCCGAGTCCTCTTGCCTCCCGGTACAAAGTTCACCTTACCGAATGGCGTCCACTGCTCACCAGACTCGGAATCAGGAGAGGAGCTCTCCTGTCCGCAGAGCCGGCTGCCTTCCAGCGCGCTCGCTGGCCTCGGTCTTGCGCCGGCTGGAACGTCCAATCTGTTCCCCCTTTATAGAAAGCTTTCTCCTGCGCCAGATACCTTCCTGCTTCTCAGCAGGGCCTCGGATTTACACTGGACTTTCCTGTCCTGCCTGAGCACCAGTGCTATAGCTATCCTTCCCCTCTGTCCTGGAAGTGTTCTCCTCCCCCAGTCAAGGGATCCCAGACGAGCCCCCAAATGTTATGCCCGATGTCCGAATCCCCGAGCAGGAAGAGAGAAGGCCTCCAAGACAATGCAACTCGCAAAAAAAAAGGGAAGTTTATTGCTGACTCGAGTCAGGGCTCCTGCCGCTCCTTCCACATCCAACGCAATGGTGCAGGGTCAGAGAGCCCCGAGCCTAAGCTGTCACACAAATTTATAGGGTGAGCATAAGCAGTTGGTAGCTGGCTTAAGCGGATTAGTTACATGTTCGCAAAGCAATCATATTGGCCCGAACCTTCGCAGGCTTTTTTCAAACTTGGGCATTCGGGCTTTTCAGCTTTCCCCTGATAGATCCCCTCTTTCTTACTAGGCGTATGTTGATTGGCTGGTTTCGGGTCGCCTGATAATCGTGTTACCATGGAAGACCAGGCCTACTCCTAATCTAGGCTGCCTGTCATGGCGTTGGCCCTGGCAGCCTTACAATAAACAGTATGTTTCTTTTCTCTACCTGCTTCGTCTCTGCCCCGGGCGATGAGGGAGACGCAGCGCGTTGAGCGACCCCTCCCCCGACCCTTTTGGGGCAGGGTCCTCGGGCAGCGAGCCTCGCGGCACGCGCGCCTCTACCGTGCGCGTCCCCCTGGCGGCGCGCGCCCCAGTCGCAGAGGTGTCTCCGCGTTTCCCACGGTTTCCCACGAACTACCCGCGAGCAGACAGCGGCGGGATCGGGTGTCGGGCGCCGGGGCCGAGCACTGTCCCCATACCCCGAGCCGCCGGCACCCCGGTGAAGGGCTGGAAGCACGGTCTTCCCCGGAAAACCTCGGTGTCTCAGCGGCCGCAGTCACGGCGGGACGCGCCCTCCCGGCACAACCGGGGACAGACGGCGCATGCGGGGCCTCAGCCGTCGCCATTGTGGCGCCGCCCCGCCCCGCGGCGTCGTCCGTGGACCCATGCCGTCCCCGAGCCCCGCCCCGTGGTCACGTGCCCGCCCGGGCCCCGCCTCCCCGGCAGCGCGCGGCTCCTCGCGGGCCACCGTAGAGGGCATCCGGAGGCCGCCGGGACGGAAGCCGAGAGGCGCTGCCGACCGCGCCTACGACAGCGTCAGCCCTGCGCGGAGCGCCGGCCCGATGGCGGCGGCGGCGGCGATGGCCGAGCAGGAGAACGCCCGGAACGGCGCCCGCAACCGCGGCGGCGTCCAGCGCGTGGAGGGCAAGCTGCGGGCCAGCGTCGAGAAGGGCGACTACTACGAGGCGCACCAGATGTACCGGACCCTCTTCTTCAGGTAGTCGCTGCGCCGCGGCCGCCGCCTTCCAGGGCTTTCCGCCCGGCCGCGGAGGCCGGCGCCCCGCCCCCGGCCGCTCCCCATTGGCCGCGCCGCGCCGCCCCGCGCCGCCATTGGCCCGCGCCACTGCCCGTCGCCTGGGCGGTGGGAGCGGGCGGCGGTGAGGCGGCCGGGGGCGGGCTGCAGGATGGGGAGCGATACCGCGGCCCCTCACCCACCCCCGGGGCCCCGACCCGGGACCGCGGATTCCAGAGCCCCGGCCGAGGCTGGATCCCCCACCCGTGCTCCCACCCCAACCCCCGGCCGAGACCCCAGACCCAACCCGAAACCCTGACCGAGAATGCAGACGGCCAGGGTTCCGGACCCTGGCCCGGCCGCCCTCCCCTCCCCCGCCCTGCGCGCCGTTGAGTTTGAAACCCTCGCTCGGAGTCCCACGCTTCTTTTCCCTCCCGGTCCGGCCGCGAGGCTGTAAACATACTGCTTCTCTTTCTCTGTCTCCCTTGCTCACCTTGTTTTGTTACTAAATCGGCTGCTTCCATAAAGCCAGTATTTTTGTTGTACCTGTGCGGCTCGCTGGCCACGTGCGGCAGTTGAGCTTCTGGAATGAGTCCCTCACAGGATGGGCTGTGAGTGTAAAAACTCGGCCTTCAAAGACTCAGCGCAGAGAAAATGTCAGGTAACTCTTCAGGAAGTCCTGATTGCACGGTGAAGCGCCGCTTGGATATATTGGATTAAATAAGATGTCGTTTTAGTGTGGCCTTAGGAGCTCTCAGGGCACTGCCTAGCTCAGTTTTGTTCTGGACTGCAGTCTGTCACACGGTTTCTGCTGTCACTACAAGCTAATGTTGTAGTTTCTTAGTTGTTCCTACGTGCGTCAGGCTTCCCTGTATATTACACAAATGCAATCAGCCTTCAGGTTTCTTGCCAGAAAACATTTGGGCCATTTGTTAGCATTTAAAGATAATTTTGGAGGATTTAATCTGATCTGCGTAGTTTTTTTCCCCTAAATTGTCGCAGGACGGCAGATATTTTGCTGTGATGTTCATGGGCAGTCAGGTCTGCCTTACACCATTTAGGCCTAGATATAAATTTTTTCTATTAACAGCAAGTTGAATCAGGGTCTTGGGAACTCTGGTAGTGCCTTCTGCTTTGGTTGTAGGTTGGTGGGGACGTAGTGCGTCTGCCTCAGGCCGTGTTTCGGCGCAGTGGCCCAGAGGACCAGGTAGGAGGGAGTTAATTGTCCCTCGGGGGATGAGCCAAAGGTGTGAGCAGGTTTAAAGTCTCTAACGCTGAGCCTTCTGCTCAGCCACTCAGATCTGTAGGATGGGAGCTTTGTAGCGCTTGAGATTTGTCCGGTGCTTTCTGTTCTCAGGGAATTGTATATAAATATTTTCCCCAATGATTAATCAGCAAAACTGGATCGTCCCAAAAATAAACACAGCGTTCCTTGTTTTGAGCCAGTTCTACAGTCACTGCTGTACCAGGAACGTGATTGTTGATTAGCTTTCAAGAAGCCTCCCTGTGCCCAAAGTGTGCTTGTGGTGACCACCAGACCTGCCTTGACTCGGGTTCATATGTCCTCTCTGCTTAGTGACCTGTAACCCAGGACAACTTGCTGAACCTCTTCTCCAAGTCTTGGCTTCCTCTTTGGTCTTTGAGGGGCTCCTACAGGAGTTCAGGACTCCTGAGAAGTAAATGGTCAGCTGTGGACCCAAGCAGGGTGGCACTAGTGGCTGTCCAGAGGGCCAGCTTAGTCGGCCTGCAGGGTGCCATAAGTGCTTTTAAGCATTTACGTAACTGTACAATTTGATGGGTTTTGACATACGTATTCACCCAAGAAATTTCACCAAAGTACTGAAAATACCCCTCATGCCCCAAAGCTTTCTCTTCTGCCTTTATAATGAATTTTTCACTCCTTGCCCCCAGGCATCCACTGATTTTTGTTACAATACATGGGTTTGCATTTTCTGGAATTTTATGTAAGTAGCATAATATAGTATATCCTGTTTTTATCTGACTTCGAATTTCCTTAGCATGATCATTTGAAGATTCACCCTTACATGTGTCATGAGTTAATTGCTGTTGAGAGGTATTCCGTTGTATGGGTGGACCACATCTTACCCATTCACCTGTTGGGTAAATTCGCCAGTCTGTGCTATTTTAACTCACTCACACCGTGTGCCCAGCAGCCTGAAGAGGGGAGAGGAATTGGGTAGCCCAGGAGGTTGGATATACAGGGAGTGTGCTGCACGAGGAGGGCGGGAGCTGCTAGTTCCAAGGAAGGCCGAGCTCTGTCTCAGGTGCCCCCACGGGCACCCCCTTGTCTCTTTGGCCTCCTCTCCGCCGGGACAGGCGGGGTCAGACATGTCCCTCTGCGGCATCCAGAAAGCGCGTCGGGCTTTGGGGCACCTGTCACTGCTGTGGGGTTTCCAGCAGCAGGCGGCTCCAGACCCAAGGGGCTGGCGGTTCTCCCACGGGCAGGGCTGCCCAGAACTGTGTGGCTGTGGTCACTGGGAACCGGAGCTGCTGCCCCAGGAATGCGGCCTGTCTGCCTCTCGGGCCTCCCGTCCCTCCCTGGCTTTTTAGGTGCTTATCTCTAGCTCTGCTTCAGGGGGAGGATCCGGAGCCTGTCGTGTCCCTGAAGCAGAGCCTACTGTGTGAGCGTCTGTGCCAGTGGCCGCGCAAGGGCTTGTTTTTCCAGAAGCCCTGTGTCATGTCCGTGCCCGGCCCATGGCCGCAGGTGCTCTGGGTGCTTCTCAGGCTGTGGGTTTCTCCTCCTGGTCCCACCCTGTGCGCTGAGGCTGCTGCTCCCGAGCTGGGTGCTTAGAAGCCCTTTTCTGTGGTTGGCCCCGGCCTGAGCCGGAGGGCAGCAGGGCTCCCGTGTCTCCTCTCCTGCGCACCTGCTGGCCACACACTTCTCACATCTCTGACTTGGCTTGTCTGGGCTGGGACACAGGTCTGACCGGCTGGACAGGTTTCCTACCTGTTTGTCCCTGAGAGGACATGTGGCCAGTGGACTTGGTGTCCTGTGCTCAGCTCAGGCCCGGTCCCGCCACCCCGGATCTCTGTCTCACTTGTTGTGGAGGAAACATCCTTTCTATGCTGTGTGCACCTCGTTGCCCATCAGGTTCCTGTCCGTCTGCAGTTGGGAAGCCAGCTTTTCCCAACTCCTGTCCCCAGTGAGACGCGCTCCCGGTGGAAAGCACTCAGGGTGGAGGGGACGGCCTAGCAGCCCATTGGCCCCTACGCATGGCCCTGGCCAGGTTCTCCCTGCCTTTTGCCATGGTCAGACCTGTGCTTGCAGCTGGAAGTGGCCCCCAGCCCCTCTCTGGTACCTCTGCTGAGACCCCTGCCCTGCTCCAGGGAGGTACTGCTTTGTCGGAGAGGGTGTCAATGTCACCAGACGGGGGTGGGTAGCCGAGCTTAGTGGGCCTGTGTGGTGGGACCTGACGGCCCGCCCTCTCTCCCGCAGGTACATGGCCCAGAGCAAGCACGCGGAGGCCCGCGAACTCATGTGCTCCGGAGCCCTGCTGTTCTTCAGCCACGGCCAGGTGAGCCATCAGTGTGACCAGGAGCGGCCGGGGAGAGGTCTGGAGGGCGGCTCTGGCGCGCCCGTGTCCCGCCTCGGTGCTCGGAGCTGTTTCTTAGGTGCGGTCAGTCGCTGTTTTTAACTGGCAGCCAGAGCCACCGGCCAGCTTCCCCGCCTTTTGAAAACTGGCAGGAGCCTCTCTTCCCACTGACCAATCTCTCTCACGCTTTACAGCAAAACAGCGCCGCTGACCTGTCCATGCTCGTCCTGGAGTCGCTGGAGAAGGCGGAGGTCGAGGTGGCCAACGAACTGCTGGGTGAGGTGGCGCGAGCCCCACCGTGCGTGCGCAGACGCACGCGCTTATGCACGCACGCATGCGTTCACATACTCAAACCTGCACACTCACGCATTCACGTGCTCCTGCACTCACAGCTGTGCTCTCGACGCACTCACATGCTCGTGTACTCAGGCCTGCACGGACACCGCGTGGGGGCGCCGGGTATCCGCAGCCCATTTCCCGCCCGCCTGCGCCCCTTGCGGGCCCTGCTGGAGAGGCGCCTGGTGAGGGCAGGCGGTTAGGTGGCCCCAGGGCCCCACCACCTTTCCAGCGCTGCTTCGCTTTTGCACCCTGAAGCGGCGGGTTTTCACTTGTTTGAGACGCCAGGTACAAAGCCGAAGCGGCGCACGTGCCTCCGGGTCAGGCCTATGTGCTGTCGTTTGCAGAAAGTTTGGCCAAGCTGTTCAGCCTGATGGACCCCAACTCCCCGGAGCGAGTGGCGTTCGTGTCTCGAGCCCTCAAGTGGTCCAGTGGCGGGTCAGGGAAGCTGGGCCATCCCCGGCTCCACCAGCTGCTGGCCCTCACCCTGTGGAAAGGTAGGCGGGCCCGGGGGGCGACCCCGAGGAGGCCGCGGGCTCTGGGCCCGCGTCTGCCACCCCCACCCACCCGTCCGCACTCACCTCTCTCTTCTAGACGGGTGATCGCGGCCGGGGCAGGCGTCTCCAAGGGCTGGTGTGGCCTGAGCGTCACCGCCCCATCAGCGCGGCGGCAGCAGCCCTCGGGGCCGGGTGGGCGCATGGCGGCCGCGGGCAGGTGCCGTCACACTGCACCAACGGGCAGCCTCGTCCGCCCCAGCCTGTGGCAGTTCAGAAGGCCTTGGCCAGAGGCCACTTTGCTGTGGACGCGTGGGCCGGGCTCTGCCCGCAGGTTGGCTGGGCTGGCAGGCCCCTCTGCGCTGCCTTGTCTGCCTACGTGCCCAGCCGGCCCGTGTCTGCGGAGCCCGGTTTGTGTGGCCGGCGCCTGCGCAGAGGCCTTGTTGTGGTTGGGAGCTGTGCAGCTCTGGCACGCGTATGTTAAGGATTTGAAGACCGGGGCAGGCGTTTGAAGGGTCTTAGGCACAGACCATGGGTGGGTCGGCGGGATGCTGTGCACTTGGGACGCTGTGCTGAGGGCTGTTTGCAGGCCCCCCTGCGATGGGCGGCCTCCGGGGGGTGTGCGGCAGGGCCTGACGTCCTGTGCAAGGGCCGCAGGAGCCCTGGCCCCCTGGGGTCTTGCGCAGCAGCCTGCCGGGAGCTGGAGGGTGCTGGAGACTTGCCAGGTTTCTTCTCTCACCTGGAGGCTGTGAAACCTTTGGGGTTGGAGGGAGAGGAGACTGAGGAGACCCCAGAACTAGCACTGTATTGGAGGCAGCCAGGAGCTGGCCGTGACCTGGGGGTGGGGGGTGGGGAAGGCTTAACCCGAAGCCATGGAGTCTCCCTTGGAGGAGGGGGGCCTAGTGTGGTGGGTGAGCGGGACCTAGGGTCCCTGCCCTGTAGCTGCCCTGTAGCTGGGTCTTGGCCTCTGTGCCACTGACCCTGGGCGTCCCGCCCACTCTGTAGCTGCTGGGTGGTCTAGGGTTGGGGTTGGGTGCCATGGGCTCCCCCAACTGTGATGGCCAACAGTAGCTCCAGACATCCCAGTGTCTGGGGTAGGAGCTGAGTGGCTCTGGGTGGGAGCTGCTGGCTGGAAGGTGGGATGGGGGGACGGGGGGGCCTGTGTATCTGAGGAGGGGCCCTTCACGGCTCCAGTCCTTTACTGAAACTGGGCAGGTTGGGGCTGGGGTCCCCCATCCAGAGGACAGTAGCCAGTGTAGTCAGAGGCTCAGAAGAGCTGAGCGGCAGAGGACGGCTGGTCCCCAAAGTGCCCACGTCCAATCCTGGCTCCTCGTCAGGGTGGCAGACATGGGCAGAGGGCCCCTAGGCTCCGTCCTGTGTGCCCCGCTCCTGGGCGCCTCAGGTTCTGCCTTCCTGACTCACTTCTAGCTGTCCCCACGGGTCTACCACCCAGGTGGAGTCTGTGCTGATGCCATGGGGCCCTGTGCTCACAGCGCACTCACGGCCCCTCCCTTGCTCTCTGTCCGCAGAACAGAACTACTGCGAGTCGCGATACCACTTCCTGCACTCAAGCGACGGTGAGGGCTGCGCCAACATGCTGGTGGAGTACTCCACGGCCCGAGGCTTCCGCAGCGAGGTGGACATGTTTGTGGCTCAGGCTGTCCTCCAGTAGGTACCCGCTTGCTGTCCTGCCTTCGTGCGTGTGGTCTCCCGGGGTCTGAGGGCGGCCTCTGGCCGAACCTCATGCAAGGACAGGTCTGAAGTCACTTGGCATCACGTCCGCAAGCATGACTGCTGCTGTTCTCTGGGAACTCCAGACCTGCCCTCTCTTAGATCAACTTGTGATGTTTCTGTTGACAGTGGAAGTACTTTTTATGCTTTAAGTTACTTTTTTGTTGCCATCAATTTTGTTTTCCCACTTATCCATCACGTCTAGTTGGGAGGGAATTACTTTTTCGGTGGGACACACACATTTACTGGCTTTTCAGCACCACCCTGGGATGTGACATGTCCGTATGACACGAGTTTTGCTCAAAGGCGGCTTGTCTTCCCAGACGTTTGATGTGTCCAGACACAGTGATGGGCGTCACCTGCCAGCTTCCCACCCAGCTCTGTGTGTCTGCTCTTTTGTCCCAGTTGAGTCTTGATCTTTTGTGTTCTTTGGACAATTTGTTTTAAGAACATTGCGGTACAGCAGAGTCGTTGGAGGCGTGAGCGCCGTGTCAGGCCCACATGGTGGGGAGCTCACGTGAGGTGACTGGGGCCCAGCCTCTCCCCCCAGCAGACACACCGCTGTTGTGAATGAGATTAGTCTTCCCAGAGAGGACTTAGATCTGGTGGCCAGGCCTCAGGCCGGGCTGTGTCTCGTGAGTTGGGGGACAGGGAGCTTCAGAGCCCCACTAGCACCACTTGCTGCTGAATCTGCGACTCGAGAAGAAAACCTGTTCACCGTCCGGAGCACCCTGACCCCAGCTTTGCACGTGGTGCCAACATCCCCTCCAGCCTCTGCCCTTCCCTGTCCATCTGGCTGTGTCGTGGGCCCCCACCACGCTGAAGTCTGGCCGCAGACACGTCCCCCACAGGAAGGAGACTGGTGCTGGGCGGCACCCAGCCCGTGTCCTCACTGGGGGTGCAGGCCGGCGCCCAGGCTCCGGAGCCACTGCGCGTGGCTCTGCTGCCCTTGCCGTGCGCCCCCTGGAGTCAGTCCCCACGCTGTCAACCCTGACTCCCTGCGCTGCCAAGGGCCTGGCAGGCACCTTTGGGGGGCGGGGGCGGGGCCCCCGGCTCCTCCTCCTATGGTTGGGTGCACCCGCTGACTGGAATGTTTCTTATTTCCAGGTTTCTCTGTTTGAAAAACAAAAGCAGCGCATCAGTGGTGTTCACGACGTACACACAGAAACACCCGTCCATCGAGAGCGGGCCTCCTTTTGTGCAGCCCCTGCTCAACTTCATTTGGTTTCTGCTGCTGGCCGTGGAGGGGTGAGTGTGTGCGTGGAGGCGTGTGGTTGTGTAAAGTCACTGGAGGTGTGCAGACGCACGTGTGCAGAGACGTGTGGCTTCTCTCCGTGCCCGTGGCCCCGAGTGGCTGCAGTGTGCTGCCGCTCCTGTTCCAGGGGGAAGCTCACGGTGTTCACGGTGCTGTGTGAGCAGTACCAGCCGGCCCTGCGTCGGGACCCCATGTACAATGAGGTGAGGGGCAGGGCGGGGCGGGGGAGGGGGGGGGAAGGGGGATGGGGAGAAGCTGGGGGAGGGGTGGGGAGAAGGGATGGGGAGAGGCTGGGGGAGGCGGGGAAGAAGCTGGGGGAGGGGTGGGGAGAAGCTGGGGAAGGGGGGAGAAGGGGGATGGGGAGAAGCTGGGGGAGGGGTGGGGAGAAGGGATGGGGAGAAGCTACTGGCGTGGCCCCAGCTCAGTGTCTGCCTCCCCCAGTACCTCGACAGGATAGGACAGCTCTTCTTTGGTGTGCCACCCAAGCAGACGTCATCCTACGGAGGCTTGCTAGGTGAGGGGGCTCACGGGTAGGGGCCTGTGGGTGCGTCTCAGAGCACAGGGCGCGTCCGGGGGCTGGAGCGTGCCTGATGCTGGCAGGAGGGTTGCTGGCTCGTCGCCCGCGGCCCCACCCTGGTGGCCCCAGCGCCCCGCCTCCTGAGCGGAGCTGTAGGGCCTGTTGCCCCCAATGAATGCTCTCCCCTGGGCTCCTGTCTGTTGGCCACAGAGTCAAAGCCAGGTGTGTGTTGTGGTGAAACACACATTACGTGCCGTTCCCCACCTCAGCTGTGCCGCATGCCATGAGGCTGCCCTTCCGTGGACGCCTGTGCTGGCTGGCGTCCCACGCCGACACTGTCCCCAGCCCGAGCCCCAGCCCTCCCCTCGGTCCTTGTGACCCTGCCTCCTCCAGGCACCTCGTGTAATCTAGCCACAGTGGCTGTGCTGTGCTGGCTGCGGCAGCTGCCGTGATCTTCCTTTTTAAGGTGATGTGTGTCCCGTCATGCAGATGGATCACGTCTTGTTGATCTGTTCAGTCATCAGTAGGTGCGTGGGTTCTTCCCCTTTGCCCGCTGTGAACATGGGTGTGCAAGTAATCTCTGTGAGGCCTTGCTGTCAGTTCTTCTGGGACACCCAGAAGCAGAGTTGCTGGATCTGTGTCATTTCTGAGCACATATCCTCCTCCCACAGCGGCTGTTGTGTTCTGCACAGCCGCCAGTGGGGCTGAGGATCCGGGACCTCCACGTCCCGGCAGCACTTGCTGCTTTGTTTGTTGACGGCAGCTGACCTAGTGTGTGGGCGCTGGGCCTGCTGTGACGGTGCTGATTTGTGTTTTCTTAGTGACTGAGCACCTTGTGTTTCTTCCATGTGCTTGTCGGCCATTTGTGAAGGTCTGTTCTTATCATTTCCCTGGTTTTGAATCAGGTTGGTTGGTGTACAAGTTCTTTATACTGGGTACTCTGTATACATATAGAGTATGTACATATACTCTATACTGGGTACTTTCTTTACCAGATACATGATTTGCAAGTATCTTTTCCCATTCTGTGGATTGGCTTTTTTTTTTTTTAAGACTTTTTTTAAAAAGCATTTAAGCAGTTTTACGTCCAAGCAAGATTAAGAGGAAGGTACAAAGGTTTCACAAAAATATTCCTCTCCCCCCACCAGCAGGTGTACCTGTCATGATGCGCCTGCTCTGACAGGACCTCATCACCCAGAGCCGAGTGCATCAGGGTCACTCTGGCGTCTGTGTTCTGAGTCTGGACGCGCACGCGGCGACATGTACACACCATTACTCTCCTGCTGCCCTGAAGACCCGCTGTCCCACCTGTTCTTGCCTCCTCTCCCTCATCACTGTGTTATTCCCTGGAGCGTTTTTTTTTTAATTCTTAATTAGAGGATAACAGCTTTACAATACTGTATTGGTTTCTGCCACACATCAGCATGAACCCCTGGCATGTCTTTTGATGCTCCGATGTTAAAATTTTCATTCTGTTTGTCTACTTTTTTTTTGTCGCTTGTGCCTTTGGTGTCATTTCCAAGTTCGGTGTCACAAAGCTTTTGCCCTGTGGTTTCTTTTAAGAGTTGTGTTAGTTTAGGCCTTCATGTGGGTCCTGGATCCCTTTGAGGTGGTCTTTTCTCTGGTGGTTTACTTACATAAGTGTCCAGCTGTGTTGTCTGGCATGTGGATTTCCAGTTTTCCCAACAGCACGTGTTGGAAGGACTACCCTTTCCCTATCAAGTGGGCATACACTGCTTGTCAAAAATCTTTTACCACATATCTGAGGGTTCTTTTCTGGGTTCTCTTTTCCACTGGTTGAGGTATGTCTTTACGCTCGGACCACACTGTTTTGACAACTGTGTTGTTTAGTTACTAAATCGTGTCTGTCTCTTTGCACCCCAGTAGACTGTTTGTTGCCTGCCAGGCTCCTCTGTCAATGGGATTCTCCAGGCAAGAACACTGGAGTGGGTTGCCATTTCCTTCTGCAGGGATCTTCCTGACCCAGGGATCGAACCTGCGTCTCCTACATTGGCTGGCAGGTTCTTTACCACTGGCGCCACCTGGGAAGCCCAGTCTCGATGGCCATAGCTTTGTAGCAAGGTTTAAATGAAAAGTGTGACACTTCAGTTTTGTTCAAGATTGTTTTGGCTCTTTCAGTCAAAGAGCCTTGAGAGTAGATTGTTTTGGCTATTTGAGTCCCTTGTGAGTCCATATGAAATTTAGGATGGGTTTTTCTATTTCTGCAAAAAATGTTTTGGGGATTTGAGATTTCATTCAGTCTGTTGACGGCTTTAGGTAGTATTGACATTTTAACAATATTAAGTCTTTTTGTCTAGGAATATGGGATGTGTCTTCACTTAAAGTGTCTTTCAGAAATGTTTTATACTTTTCATTGTGAAATCTTTCACCTTCTTGGTTCAGCTAGTTACTGTTTTATTCTTTTTGACGCTATTGTAAATAGAATTGTTTCTGTTTATTTTGTACTCTGGAAATTTTTACATGTAAAATCATACCACTTGCAGACAGATAATTTTACTTCTTTTCAATTTGTAATTCCTTTTATTTTCTTGCCTAATTGCTCTGGCTAGTAACTTCAAGTTCAGTTGACCCTTGAACAATGTGGAGAGGTTGGGGTGCTGGTCCCCTGAGCAGTCGAACGCTGGTGTATAATTTAGAGTTGGTACACTGTTCGTGGGTTCAGCCAGCTGCAGATCAGGTAGTACAGTATGAGCCTAGAAAACAAGTGCGCACCTAAGGGGGCCTGGGCAGTGCACCCTGTGTTGTTCAGGGTCGCCTGTCGCACATTGAGCAGAAGTGGTGGGAGCAATCCTTGCTCTGTCCCGGGTCTCAGGGCAAGAGCTTTGAGTCTGTCACTGCTGTGACGTTTGCTGTGGGTCCATATATGGCTTTTATCACATCGTGGTGTGAGATGGTTTCCTTTCTTAGTGTTTTCGTGGAAGTGTTGACTTTGTCAAGTGCTTTATGTGTATCGCTTGATGATCATTGGTTTTTTCCTTCATCTGTTGTGGTGTATCATGTTGACTGATTTTCACATATTGAGCCATCCTTCCGTTCCAGGAGCGGATCCCACTTGGTCATGGTGTCTGAGTCTTCCACCATGCTGCTGAATTTGGTTTGCTAGTGTTTTGTTGAGGATTTTGCATCAGTGTTCATAAAGAATATTGGTTTGTAGTTTTCTTTCATTGTAGTGTCTTTTGACTCTGGCATTTGAAAGACAAGTGGTCCTACTTCAGCAGTTTCACCAGTGAAGCCGTGAGGTTCTGGGATTTTCTTTGCTGGAGCCTGATTCCAGAGTCAGTCTCCTGACCCTGGAGCCTGTCAGGAGTGTGTGTCTTGGGCGTTGGCGGGTGCAGGCCCTGACACTGCCTCTTGGGGCCGGGCCTCGCCCCATCCTGCCCCGCTGTCTGTGCTGCCCCCGTCTCGACTCCCGACTCCCAGTTGAGCTGCCGACCAATAGAGTCCTGCGCTCAGACGTGGGTTTTGACATCTTGAATGCTTTAGGTTTACTTTTGAGTAGATAAAACGTGTCTCGCAGAGTCCAGATGTGCCAGGCCCCGCCACTGTCCCCGGGGGAAGTGCAGGCCAGGCAGCCTGTCTTAGCTTCCTTGGGGGGAACTTCACAGACATGCAGACAGCCCCTTCTCCATGAACCCACAGCCCCTGTCCTTCGCTCTGGAACTGCCGTGGGCCCCAGGGCCGCAGGCCTGGGAGAGTGAGTCCCTCGGAGCGTCCCCTGCCCGGTAGGCCATCCATGGCGAGCCTGCCCCATGGGGCTCTGCCGGGAGGCTGGGGTGAGCGTTGTCAAACGGTGCTGCCGCGGGGGAAGCTCTTCCATCTCCTGGATCATTTGAGAAGCTGTTTCCCCTTAGATACAAGTTGGACTTGACCTGTAGGTAGAGTCTGTGTGGTGGGGTTGGGGCTACTCCCCTTTCCTAGGCTCTCACCGTGGCCACTCAGCTCGGGGGCCCCGTCCAGCCCCCCCGTGCCTCAGCAGCAGCCCTGCTTTCCCCGCAGAACCTGTCCTGGGTCCCAGAGTGCTGCAGCGGGCTGGATGTGGCCGGGGGCACCACACGCCCTTGCCTCCTTGTTCCCGTGTGGGTTGGTTTCAGGCACTTTATAAACTTGGCTCTGGTATTGATGGAGAAGTGGTTCTTTGGATAAAAATTAGGTAAAAAGAAGTGTCTGGCCCAACAAGGCCCACAGGTGACAGCAGTTAGTGTCGTTTCCTGTGGCTTTAGAACCGTCACTGCAGAGGTAACCTGCGAGTGAGTTCACCTGCTGCTCGGTCACCTGTGACCCCGGGCTGTGCTGGTGGAGGGCACTGCCGCCACCCCCCACCCGCAACCCCAGCAGGACACCTGGGTGTGAGGAGGGCACCTCTGGGGCAGGGGCTGCCGCAGGGCCCGGCTGTGGGCTGACGGTGCCGTGCGCCTCCTTCCAGGGAACCTTCTGAGCAGCCTCATGGGCTCCTCGGAGCAGGAGGGTGAGGACAGTCAGGACGACAGCAGCCCCATTGAGCTCGACTGACGCCCGCAGACCTGCAGACTCGGCCGGGACCGTGGCGGGGAGGCTCCCAGCGCGAGTCCAGACCGCTGCCCCGGGCTTTGGCCAGGGCCCCGTGGCTGTGTGTTGGGTGTCCCGGGCCCGGGCCGTGGCCGTGTACCTTGATGACCCCAATAAAGCACAGGCCCTGCGGCGCCTCCTCCCGGCCCTTGTGTCTGGTTTGCTTGGGGAGGGCTCGGCGGGGCGGGGGGCCTGGCCACCGTGTCCTGGGAACAGCTGGGCGGCCGAGCACCCAGCCACCAGAGCGGGTCTCGTCAGGAGGCTGCAGGACCCCCAGCTTCGTGGGGCAGTGTTACTGTCACTGGGTGATTGAGGCCTTGACCTGACGGTTCAGGTTTACCCAGGTGAGAGGCCTGGGACGAGCAGGCCTGTCCGTCACTGACGCTGCACTAGATGCCCGGGATGGTTACAAAAGGGGAAACACTTTATTTTTTCACAATTATTATAATAAGAGTTGTAGATTAATACCCAGTGATCATGCATGGGAAGGAACGCAATACACAATTTTATTTACTGTAAAAATGGAATTTAAAGGAAGGTTTGTGTTCATTGTTGAGTTTAAATAAATCCTTTATACTGGGCTCAGCAGCAGTGGTCCTTTCTGAGGGAGCTCCTGGGGCGGGGTGTGGGCAGGGAGCAGCAGCCGGACACCCCGGGAGGCCTGCGGGCGCTGGGGCCAGTGTTTCTCCAGCTGTCTGGACTGCATCCTTGGTGGGTGGCACCAGGTGGCCCGTGTTGGGAGAGAGTCAGGGTTTTAGGTATGAACAGTGTCGTATCTAAATCTGCGGACAGGTGAGGCCTCCCCGGCCCTCTGAGCGGCCGGTGGGGCTGGGTGCCCTGAGCCCTGGTCTCATCGAGCAGGACGTGCTGTGATGTCTGCACGCAGGCTGTGCGCCTCTGACTCCCGGCCCCCTGTGTGGGTTCTGCTTTTTCTGAGAAGTCCTCCCTGCTGGCCCCCTCATGCAGCCTTCTGGCAGAGCACGTGGGTGTGCACACACAGACACACGTGCAGAGCCCACGCTGACACAGAGTGGGCCGCCGCGACCCAGGGCCCGAGGCTGAGTCCACGAGGGTGCGTGCTGGGCAGCCCTGCGTGGTCGGGAAGGTCTGGGGACCCTGGACGAGCCCTCCTGCCTGCTCTGGAACTCGAGGACCTGGGCTCCCCGGGACCTGGGCTGGAGGAGGCGCCAGGAGCAGGGTGTCTGGGGCTCTGGCCCTGGGTGACCTCACAGTGGTCCTCACCTACCGCAGCCATCTTGGTGACCCCTGACCTGGCAAGCCCTGGCGGTGGCCCCAGTGGGGGGTGCGGGGGGCTTGTGGTCCCCGCTGGAGCCTGCAGCCCCCACCCAGGGTGCGGGTTTGTGACGGGTCTGCACTGTAGGTGCTCACGCAGGTGTGAGGGGAGACAGGCTCACAGGAGGGCGCCTGGCCCCATCTCTGGCTGTGGGCCCACCAGCCAGGCCAGGCCCGGTGCCCGCCCTCTCGGTCCCAGCAGCTGGTCCAGGTCCCCTGGGAGCATGTCGTGGCCACACAGGACAGCACCCGGATGACCTAGCGGGTAACCCCCACCCATGTCCCGCTCCACCACGGCCCTGTCCCCCTGCCCGGGCACATGGGGAGGCTTGGGGGCGGTTACCACTGGCCAGCAGCTTGCTGGGCTGCAGACGTGAGCTGGGCCCAGGCTCCATCCTCCGAGGGGTCAGAGACAGTGAGGGCGGGCAGAGACAGGGATCACGGTCAGCGCAGAGTCCCAAGCTGGCATGGTAGGCGCCCAGGGGCAGCCAGGCCTGAGGCTCGAGGCCCTGGGGCTCCCACCGTGGGGGCCCAACCCCCCAGACCCACACATTGGTGCGGGTCAGCTCACTGAGGCTGGGGTCCACGTCTGCCACTCTGGCCCCCAGGACCCCACGACAGACACAGCGGGTTTCAATAAATACGTGTTGGGAGGGGGGCATGCAGGCTGGCCCTCTGTCCCCACAGCCCAGCTTCCGGGTGGGGGGTTCCCGCTCAGGTGGGCAGTGGCAGCTGGGGGGTGGTCCTCAGAGGAACGGGGCTCCGGCGAGCAGAGGTCGGTGGGGGGCTGTGGGCGTCCCATGGGGGGTGGGCAGCAGCGTGGCGGGGTCAGGCTGGGCCAGCCCACGTTGAGGTTCCAGAGACACGGGTGCTCGTGGCTGAAGCTCGGGCCCCACTGGCCGTGGCCTCCTGCGGCCACGTCCAGGCAGTCCAGAGTCCTCAGGCCGCCGGGGCCTTCTTGTACTAGGGCTTGTGCTTGAAGTGGGCTTCCACTGCGAAAGGACAGGGCCCTGCCGGGTCACGGCCACGCGGGGCCACAGGGCTCCCCCTCGGCCAGCCCGCCCACCTCACCTGCATACTCCTGGGGCAGCATGGGCCTGTCCACCACCTTCCGGAGCGCCTCCATCCACGCCCGCTGCTCCGACTCCGTCTCGCAGGCCAACAGAAACCGGCGCTCTGGCGTGACGATGGTAATCCCATGTGGCCAGTGGTGGCCCTGGGTGGACGGTGGGAGCCCGTCCAGCACCGTGTAGCCACTCTCTCTGCTGCCGATGAAGACTTCCCCGCGGGCGAAGGCATCCTGGGGGAAAACCGGGTGGGCTGCACGGGGCGGCTGCGCCCGCCTGAGTCACTCAGCTGCATGCGGCCCCCAGCCCGGCCCGGCCCTTCACCCAGCAGACCACCCGGGCCTGCCTGCCTTGCGGTGGCGGGAGGGCACAGCCACGCTTCATGGGCCGCGTCTGGCCTTACCAGCGGGTCCTTGAAGTACATGAGCCTGCGGTCGTCCATGGTGAACCAGCGCTTGCGGAAGCCTTCTGTCTGCTGGGGGGCGAGGGCACAGGTCGGCCAGAGGCGCTGCCTCCCCAGGGGCCCCGTGCCTGCCCTCCACACCCCCGCGGCGGAGACCCCGGGTGCACGGGGGCAGGAGGTAGGGCTCGGAGCTGACAAGACCGCATCCAAAGCCCCAGGAGCGCGGGTCAGTGGAGCCCACGCTCACAAAACACACGGGGGGTTGCTGGCACTGTTATCCCCGACCCTGTCCCGCCCGGCCCCGGGTGATGGGGATGGGACCTCGTCGTGAGGCCCAGGTGTCCAGGTCGCTGGGTCAGACCCACCTTGGGCCCCGTCTTCTCCATGTAGCCCTCCTGAAGGTAGTTCCTGGACAGCTTTGGCACCAGCTAGGGCGGAACCAGGCGGCGTGGGCCTGGGGGCCTCCCCACCCCGCCCCAGTCGCAGCCGCCCCGCGCTGTCCCCTCCCCGCCCAGCCACCACCCCTCCCGTCCCTCCCCTCCCCCCTCCCCACAGTGACGCTGAGCCCCCCGGAACAACCCCGCCCCCCGCCCGTAGTTTCCAGGGACTTCAGGCCACTTGGTGGGGGCCACGTGACCCTCGATCAGCTCCCAGCCACCCATCCCAGACGAGGGCACACATCCCCCCCTCGGAGTCACAGAGAGCAGCTGCCACTCACGTCTGCGTCGCTGGCCCCCGGGAAGGCCACCTGCAGGTAGTGGAAGCGGGCAGCGCGGAGTGCGTTGAACCAGTCCACCATCTCCTGGAGTCAGAGGCTGGGTGAGGGCCACGCTGCGGGGCCCCACCACATCCCCCCCTAGCCCCGCCTGCCTGCGGCCCTCAGAGCAGCTCCCCTGTGCGCCGGCCTTTCCTCAGATGGGGCTGTTTTTATGACTGGACATTGGCCTGGAAGGAGGCGCGTCTATTTATAGACCTACCCAGAGCCTGCTCTCACCAACTGCACCAGTGTTCTTAGGTCAGTCTCCCAAGGCACTTGAAATAAAAGAAATAAACAGTGGGACCTAATCAAAGTTGAAAGGAAAGGAAACTGAACAAAATGAAGAGGCAGCCTGCAGACTGGGAGGAAATACCTGCAAACAGTGCCGCCCATGAGGGTTTAATTCCCACAAACTCATTCAACTCAACCACAGAAAAACAGCCCAATCCAGAAACAGGCAGGAGACCTAAACAGACATTTCTCTAAAGAAAACATGCAGGTGGCCAACAGGCACAGGGAAAGATATTCAACATCACTCATGGTCAGAGAACTGCAAGTCAAAACTAGTGGGGCGCCATCAGATGTCAGAATGGCCGTCGTTAGTTACCAATAACACATGCTGGAGCGGCTGTGGGGAAAAGGGAACCACCTTCATTGGTGTGAATGTAAATTGGTGCAGCCACGTGGAGAACAGTGTGGAAGTTCCTCAAAAAACTCAAGAGAACTACCATGTGATCCTGCGGTCCCACTCCTGGGAGCAGGAGTAGAGAAAACTGACTCAAACAGATTCGTTTGAAGACGTACAGGCAGCCTGCGTGTCCATGGACAGATGAATGGGTGAAGATTTGTGTACACACACAAATATTAGCCATTTTAGAATGAAATGGATGCCATCTGCAGCAATGTGGATGCACCCAGAGAGTCACTAAGTCAGGAAAAGACAAATAGCATTTGATATCACTTACACGTGGAATCTAAAATATGACAGAAACGAGCTTTCATGAAACAAATAGCCTCAGAGAGCAGACTTGGGGTTGCCGAGGGGGAGGCTGGGCCACGCAGTGGCAGACGAGCTTGCAGAAGGGTAAGGGCTGGTCTGCTGGGCTCAGGGAGCTCTATTCCACACCCTGTGGCAGACCGCAGCGGACGGGAACGTGAGAAAGTTAAGGCGACTAGAGTTCAGTGAAATTAAACAACAAAAACACGAAACCCAGGACGGGCCAGAACAAACAACCAGTGCTGGGAAAACTGAATGTCCACATGCCAGAGAATGAGACTGCACCCTAACTCACACCACAGATGAATCAAAGGCTGAAACGTGAGCCCCAAAGCAGCAAAGTTCACAAGAAGAGCACGGGGCCACGACACTGGACTTGGAGTGACTCCTTGACTATGCGCCCAAAGGCGCATGCGGCCAAAGGAACACATTTTAAAACATTTTGAAATACTGTGCATCAAAAGACTGCAGTGCGTACAGCCCACAGAGCGGCCAAGCACACGGAGACCACGCTGGAGTGACCCACTGAGGCCAGACCTGGGGGTCTGCCCGGAGGCCCACCTCGCCAGGCCCTGGGGCGGGGCTCCTGGGTCCCCTCCCCCACAGGGCCCAGCCGGCTCCCACTGCAGCCACGGCCGGTGGTCCGGGGCCAGCAGACTCTGCTTGGGCAGTGGTGGTCCGGCCCCACCACTCGCCGTGCGCCCACCTTCCCGTCCTCGTGGTAGACGAAGATGTTGCGGGTGCTGTTGTCCTTCAGGTGGGTGACCTGCAGGCCATGCGGGTGGCCGATCTTGGCCGGCTGGAAAGTGGCGTTCAGGTGCTCAATCTTCATGACGGCCTTGGGCTCCTTGGCCTGGGGAGCAGGGCCAGGCCTCAGCACTAGGCAGGCGGGGCGGGTGCTGGCCCCACACTCGGGTGCTGTGTGGCTCTGAGCAAGTTACTTACTTACCCTTTCTGGGTCTGCGCTTCCTCATCTAAGGGAACGCCTTGACAGGAGGTGTGAGGGCGGGCCACCTGGTCCACCCCACCCTAGGCCGGGTGCCCCCTTCCTGCTCCTCACCCTGCCAGCCTGACCTCTCCCCTCTCCTGGCCCTGGGGCTGCAGGGCCAGCCAGCCCCTCCACATGCTGCCCAGGGTCCCCCTGACCTGCCCGCAGGGTGCCAGTCCCGTCCGTCGAGGGCCGGAGGAAATGGCTGTGAGCAGCCGCGGGCGGAGGGTCCCCACGGGGGTGGGGGAGGCAGTGTGTCCCCCGGGAGGGCGTGGGGCAGCTGGGGTGTGGCGCCAGCCCCGGGCCCACTCACGTCACTCCTGTTGAAGTACTTCAGGGCGCCCTCGCGCTCCGTCAGCACGAACTTCCGGCTCAAGAACTGCCCGTTGTCCCGGCCGCGCTTCCAGAGGAAGCCTTCTCGGTACCCTGCGGGGAGGGCGCGGTCGGATGGCTGCCCCGACAGGGGGCCGGGTGGTGTACTCCTGTCCAGGGGCCCGCCCCCCAGGGGTGGTGGGTTCCTGAGCGTCTCCAGACCGCGGGTCGCCCTCTTCCTTTTCCTGGGTGGGCGGGAGGCATGTGGCGCCCACGGGCTCTGTGGGCCTGGGGCTGGTGGCGGCCAAACACCCAGACGCAGAACACCACGGGCCCAGAGAGACAGGGCGGGGTCAGAGACGCCAGACGCGGCCTTGGCCAAGAACCGGGGAGCCCCCGGAGAGCCGGCCCTGACCACCCGGCCTGGGGTCTGTCACGTCGCTTGAAGGCAGCCTGCGGTTGGGCCCGCAGCGGCGGGCGGGGGAGGCAGACCCTCACAGGGTGCACCCACCCTGACCCCTCTGCCCTCTCTTTCCCCTTTGCCTGTTCTCGGCCCTGAGTGTCACAGGTCAGGTCAGGGCCCCGTGTGAGTCACGTCACAGGTCGGGTCAGGGCCCCCGAGTGAGTCACAGGTCAGGTCAGGGCCCCCGTGAGAGTGTCACAGGTCAGGGCCCCCGTGTGAGTCACGTCACAGGTCGGGGCCCCCGTGTGAGTCACGTCACAGGTCGGGTCAGGGCCCCCGAGTGAGTGTCACAGGTCAGGCCCCCGTGTGAGTCACGTCACAGGTTGGGTCAGGGCCCCCGAGTGAGTCACAGGTCGGGTCAGGGCCCCGTATGAGTCACGTCACAGGTTGGGTCAGGGCCCCCGAGTGAGTCACAGGTCAGGTCAGGGCCCCGTGTGAGTCACGTCACAGGTCGGGTCAGGGCCCCCGAGTGAGTCACAGGTCAGGTCAGGGCCCCGTGTGAGTCACGTCACAGGTCAGGGCCCCCGTGTGAGTCACGTCACAGGTCGGGTCAGGGCCCCCGAGTGAGTCACAGGTCAGGTCAGGGCCCCCGTGAGAGTCACGTCACAGGTCAGGCCCCCGTGTGAGTCACGTCACAGGTCGGGGCCCCCGTGAGAGTGTCACAGGTCAGGGCCCCGTGTGAGTCACGTCACAGGTCAGGGCCCCCGTGAGAGTGTCACAGGTCAGGGCCCCGTGTGAGTCACGTCACAAGTCAGGGCCCCCGTGTGAGTCACGTCACAGGTCGGGTCAGGGCCCCCGAGTGAGTCACAGGTCAGGTCAGGGCCCCCGTGAGAGTGTCACAGGTCAGGCCCCCGTGTGAGTCACGTCACAGGTCGGGTCAGGGCCCCCGAGTGAGTCACAGGTCAGGTCAGGGCCCCCGAGTGAGTGTCACAGGTCAGGCCCCCGTGTGAGTCACGTCACAGGTCGGGTCAGGGCCCCCGTGTGAGTGTCACGGGTCGGGGCCCCCGTGAGAGTGTCACAGGTCAGGCCCCCGTGTGAGTCACGTCACAGGTCGGGTCAGGGCCCCCGAGTGAGTCACAGGTCAGGTCAGGGCCCCGTGTGAGTCACGTCACAGGTCGGGTCAGGGCCCCCGAGTGAGTCACGTCACAGGTCGGGTCAGGGCCCCCGAGTGAGTCACAGGTCAGGTCAGGGCCCCCGTGAGAGTGTCACAGGTCAGGGCCCCCGAGTGAGTCACAGGTCAGGTCAGGGCCCCCGTGTGAGTCACGTCACAAGTCAGGGCCCCCGTGTGAGTCACGTCACAGGTCGGGTCAGGGCCCCCGAGTGAGTCACAGGTCAGGTCAGGGCCCCCGTGAGAGTGTCACAGGTCAGGGCCCCCGTGTGAGTCACGTCACAGGTCAGGGCCCCCGTGTGAGTCACGTCACAGGTCGGGTCACGGCCCCCGAGTGAGTCACAGGTCAGGTCAGGGCCCCCGTGAGAGTGTCACAGGTCAGGGCCCCCGAGTGAGTCACAGGTCAGGTCAGGGCCCCCGTGTGAGTCACGTCACAGGTCAGGGCCCCCGTGTGAGTCACGTCACAGGTCGGGTCAGGGCCCCCGAGTGAGTCACAGGTCAGGTCAGGGCCCCCGTGAGAGTGTCACAGGTCAGGTCAGGGCCCCGTGTGAGTCACGTCACAAGTCAGGGCCCCCGTGTGAGTCACGTCACAGGTCGGGTCAGGGCCCCCGAGTGAGTCACGTCACAGGTCGGGTCAGGGCCCCCGAGTGAGTCACAGGTCAGGTCAGGGCCCCCGTGTGAGTCACGTCACAGGTCAGGGCCCCCGTGAGAGTGTCACAGGTCAGGGCCCCCGTGTGAGTCACGTCACAGGTCGGGTCAGGGCCCCCGAGTGAGTCACAGGTCAGGTCAGGGCCCCGTGTGAGTCACGTCACAGGTCGGGTCAGGGCCCCCGTGAGAGTGTCACAGGTCAGGTCAGGGCCCCCGTGTGAGTCACAGGTCAGGTCAGGGCCCTCGTGAGAGTGTCACAGGTCAGGCCCCCGTGTGAGTCACGTCACAGGTCGGGTCAGGGCCCCCGAGTGAGTCACGTCACAGGTCGGGTCAGGGCCCCCGAGTGAGTCACGTCACAGGTCGGGTCAGGGCCCCCGAGTGAGTCACAGGTCAGGTCAGGGCCCCCGTGTGAGTCACGTCACAAGTCAGGGCCCCCGTGTGAGTCACGTCACAGGTCGGGTCAGGGCCCCCGAGTGAGTCACGTCACAGGTCGGGTCAGGGCCCCCGTGTGAGTCACGTCACAGGTCGGGTCAGGGCCCCCGTGTGAGTGTCACAGGTCGGGTCAGGGCCCCCGTGAGAGTGTCACAGGTCAGGTCAGGGCCCCCGTGTGAGTCACGTCACAGGTCAGGGCCCCCGTGAGAGTGTCACAGGTCAGGCCCCCGTGTGAGTCACGTCACAGGTCAGGGCCCCCGTGAGAGTGTCACAGGTCAGGGCCCCCGTGTGAGTCACGTCACAGGTCGGGTCAGGGCCCCCGTGTGAGTGTCACAGGTTGGGTCAGGGCCCCCGTGAGAGTGTCACAGGTCGGGTCAGGGCCCCCGAGTGAGTCACAGGTCAGGTCAGGGACCCCGTGTGAGTCACGTCACAGGTCAGGGCCCCCGTGAGAGTGTCACAGGTCAGGCCCCCGTGTGAGTCACGTCACAGGTCAGGGCCCCCGTGAGAGTGTCACAGGTCAGGACCCCCGTGTGAGTCACGTCACAGGTCGGGTCAGGGCCCCCGAGTGAGTCACAGGTCAGGTCAGGGCCCCGTATGAGTCACGTCACAGGTCGGGTCAGGGCCCCCGTGAGAGTGTCACAGGTCGGGTCAGGGCCCCCGAGTGAGTCACAGGTCAGGTCAGGGCCCCCGTGTGAGTCACGTCACAGGTCAGGGCCCCCGTGAGAGTGTCACAGGTCAGGCCCCCGTGTGAGTCACGTCACAGGTCAGGGCCCCCGTGAGTGTCACAGGTCAGGGCCCCCGTGTGAGTCACGTCACAGGTCGGGTCAGGGCCCCCGAGTGAGTCACAGGTCGGGTCAGGCCCCCGTATGAGTCACGTCACAGGTCAGGGCCCCCGTGAGAGTGTCACAGGTCAGGCCCCCGTGTGAGTCACGTCACAGGTCGGGTCAGGGCCCCCGTGAGAGTGTCACAGGTCAGGCCCCCGTGTGAGTCACGTCACAGGTCGGGTCAGGGCCCCCGAGTGAGTCACAGGTCAGGTCAGGGCCCCCGAGTGAGTGTCACAGGTCAGGGCCCCCGTGTGAGTCACGTCACAGGTCGGGTCAGGGCCCCCGTGTGAGTGTCACGGGTCGGGGCCCCCGTGAGAGTGTCACAGGTCAGGCCCCCGTGTGAGTCACGTCACAGGTCGGGTCAGGGCCCCCGAGTGAGTCACAGGTCAGGTCAGGGCCCCCGTGAGAGTGTCACAGGTCAGGGCCCCCGTGTGAGTCACGTCACAGGTCGGGGCCCCCGTGTGAGTCACGTCACAGGTCGGGTCAGGGCCCCGTGTGAGTCACGTCACAGGTCAGGTCAGGGCCCCCGTGAGAGTGTCACAGGTCAGGTCAGGGCCCCCGAGTGAGTGTCACAGGTCAGGCCCCCGTGTGAGTCACGTCACAAGTCAGGGCCCCCGTGTGAGTCACGTCACAGGTCGGGTCAGGGCCCCCGAGTGAGTCACAGGTCAGGTCAGGGCCCCCGAGTGAGTGTCACAGGTCAGGCCCCCGTGTGAGTCACGTCACAGGTCGGGTCGGGGCCCCCGTGAGAGTGTCACAGGTCAGGCCCCCGTGTGAGTCACGTCACAGGTCGGGTCAGGGCCCCCGAGTGAGTCACAGGTCAGGTCAGGGCCCCCGAGTGAGTGTCACAGGTCAGGCCCCCGTGTGAGTCACGTCACAGGTCGGGTCAGGGCCCTCGTGTGAGTGTCACGGGTCGGGGCCCCCGTGAGAGTGTCACAGGTCAGGCCCCCGTGTGAGTCACGTGACAGGTCGGGTCAGGGCCCCCGAGTGAGTCACAGGTCAGGTCAGGGCCCCCGTGAGAGTGTCACAGGTCAGGGCCCCCGTGTGAGTCACGTCACAGGTCGGGGCCCCCGTGTGAGTCACGTCACAGGTCGGGTCAGGGCCCCCGTGAGAGTGTCACAGGTCAGGGCCCCCGTGAGAGTGTCACAGGTCAGGGCCCCCGTGAGAGTGTCACAGGTCAGGCCCCCGTGTGAGTCACGTCACAGGTCGGGTCAGGGCCCCCGTGAGAGTGTCACAGGTCAGGCCCCCGTGTGAGTCACGTCACAGGTCGGGTCAGGGCCCCCGAGTGAGTCACAGGTCAGGTCAGGGCCCCCGAGTGAGTGTCACAGGTCAGGCCCCCGTGTGAGTCACGTCACAGGTCGGGTCGGGGCCCCCGTGAGAGTGTCACAGGTCAGGCCCCCGTGTGAGTCACGTCACAGGTCGGGTCAGGGCCCCCGAGTGAGTCACAGGTCAGGTCAGGGCCCCCGTGAGAGTGTCACAGGTCAGGCCCCCGTGTGAGTCACGTCACAGGTCGGGGCCCCCGTGTGAGTCACGTCACAGGTCGGGTCAGGGCCCCCGTGAGAGTGTCACAGGTCAGGGCCCCCGTGTGAGTCACGTCACAGGTCGGGGCCCCCGTGTGAGTCACGTCACAGGTCGGGTCAGG